AAATGACCTTAGTGGGTTGACAATAAATATTTCACAGGGTCACAATTCAGCCTTTCATCTTTTTTCATCCAGCTTTCTTGGAAGAAAAGGTTGTGGTCTTCAAAATATAATGACAATTTTTATAGCTTGGATTAGAAGACAACTCTAGAGAGGGTTCCCTGCTCATGAATAAGTAATTTAAAGGCAGTTTATGTATTGAAGATGTGGTATTAGCAATTTGATTCTGACAGGGCCAACTCTGTCAGGCAAACCTTTGTAAATATGACAGTCTCCAAGGAATTCATGTTGCAATAGGTACTGAGTACCTACTCTGTGCCAGGGCTTTGAACAGACCAATAAAATAGACGAATCTCTGGCAATTCAACCAAGGGACAGAAGGAAATATTAAATTCATTCTGCTCTCATATGATATAGTAACTGATTTATTTTTTAAAAGTCCATATCATCACAAGTCTCATTATAAAAACAATAAAAATAAATAATTGTTTCTATGAAATAAAAACCCAGGACAAAAATTTAAAGACATTTAAATCAGCAAGGGAAAGGATGAATTAATCAATAAATCACACTGAGACAAGCAGCTCAGCATCAGTAAAAAGTAAAGTTATATTCCTACTGCATAACTCATCTGTAAATAAATTCTAGATGAATTAATGCTATTGAAGTATAAGAAACATCATAACTAACAGTTTGAGATGGAGACATTCTTTTCAAGGATGACATCAAAGTCAGTTATCCTAAAGTAAAAGAATGTTCTATGGGATTTTATAAAAATTATAAATTTTTGTATGGAAATTAAAAAGAACCCACATAAAAAAGAGGTAAAGGTTAATGTTATTTCAATACTAATGTTATATAATTTCATTTTACCCACAGGTTGGTGAGCCCTGTGAACGATGGTTACATATCTTAATCTACAGAAATACATTGGGGAAAAAAGTATAGAAGGATATACCTCTGTATGGGTTCTATCTGAATGGTAAGTATACAGTACATACGTTTTTTCTTTATATTTTCCTGTACTTTTTTAATTTAGTTTTTGCAATGATTACACATTCTTTCCTTTTATAATCATCAAAAATAATATAGCTATAAAGATTGCTTACTAGTTCTACTTGTAATGTTTAGAAATTATTATGCCACACTACATATAGCTAAGGATGCTTTAAAAAATAAATCTGAGGTTAATTTGGCCTGGAGTTCAAAGTGTCTTGAGGTTTCCTAATCACTGGGATGTAGCAGCTAGTATTTTGCCATTTTATACTTTGGTCTTTTATTGTATTATAGAATTTGCTCAAAGTCCATATACAAAGTGATGATATTCCATTTTGTAGAGTTGCTCACTATATGCTCATAAATATTGCAATGAGTAAGTCTTCTAAAAATATTTATGAATGCCAAAACTACTATCTTGCATATTATTTATTTGCTTTGACCAGGGACAAGTGAATCTGTCTAAATAATTCATCTCATTGCATGAGAATAAGGGTCCACAGGCTATTTGATAATTCCCACATGTGAGAATTATATCTTACGACATAGAATATGAGAATTATATAAAGAATATGAAAGTTATATCTTATAAACATGACAACTAACTCTAATGCAGTAAGAATATTTTTTTCTAGAGATTTTGCAAATTAGTGAAATAAATATTGATTACTGACATATTTCCTAATATTCTCTACTTCAAGGAACTTCAATAATCACAGTGCATGTCTCCACATGATCTGAATTTTCTGGAGGCCATAACAATATATTTAGAGTAAGAGAGACAGCAATGATAGTAACTGGCATCTCACTAGATGAATTACTCCAAAGGAAACATTTCTTTCAAAGAAAACAGTGGCCTGGAAAGAGCTCAGTCTTTGAAAGCAGACAGCCCAGGAGTTTCTCTCAGGCTCCCTCACTTATAGTCTCTATGGTCTTGGGCAAATCACTTGACCTCATGAGTTTGTTCCCATACCTATAAGACAAAGAGAGTAATAACTGTCTTGTGGTCATTACTGAGGGCATGTGTTTAAAGTACCAGGCACATGTTAGGCACTCAAAAAAATGGTGACTGTTACTGACGGTGGCTAACAGGCTACTAGCAGAAAGCTGGCTGACTCCTTGGAGAGGCTCACAGAGGAGAAAATACAACCTCCGCGAATGTACTTCCATTCAGGGGTGAGGCCACGAGACTGCAAACTGGATGATTACAGGGAAAAAGTCTCATGCTATTCAAGTTCAGTCACCAGTTTATTGATTTAAAGTGAAATATATGCCTTCCTAGTGCCTAAAGTGATCATATCTTTCAGTCAGGCAACCCCTTCCTCATATCAAAATAACTGAATAATTATAGGGAGGATGAATTCAGAACAAAGAGAGGTAAGGTCCTGAGGGAAGTTTCACCGGGGCCTCACTGTGGCCTGAGGACCCTCCTCACCTTACCACTGACCCCACCTCACCAGCATACAGAAATTCAGGACCTCCCAAAGCTGGGGGTCTTTCTGCATGTAGTACCAGACAACTACTGCCACCTTTGGAACCTCTGAGCTTTTCTTTTTCAGTATTCAAGGCAAATAACTCACCCTCATTCTGTCCACACAAGCCTTTCCCAGAGAGAGGCATACAATGCCCTGACCTCCACTTAGTAAGTTACCATCACCTCCAGTCCTCCCCACCTCACCCACCTCCTGCCCTGCAATAGCAAGGTTGCCATGGTGCAAGTGTCAGGTGATTCCTCAGATAACCAATCTCATCAACTGTGCAAGAATTTTACCAAGATAACCATAAAGAACTAGCTGATTCCCTTGTTTCCAAGTCCTTGAGAAAAACCTCACTGCTTCCCCATACAAGACCAAGTTAATTTTTACTGTTGTTTCTGTTGATTGGATGGATGGATGGATGGATGGATGGATGGATGGGCGGACGGAAAGATGGATGAACAGATGCATAGATGAAAAATGAGTATGTAATCCCAGCACTTTGGGAGGCTGAGGCAGGCAGATCACGAGGTCAGGAGATCAAGACCATCCTGGCTAACATGGTGAAACCCCATCTCTACTAAAAATTAAAAAAAAAAAAATTAGGCGGGCATGGTGGCAGGCGCCAGTAGTCCCAGCTACTCAGGAGGCTGAGGTGGGAGAATGGCATGAACCCAGGAGGCGGAGCTCACAGTGAGCTGAGATCACGCCACTGCACTCCAGCCCAAGTGACAGAGCGAGACTCCGTCTCAAACAAGCAAACAAACAAAAATGAGTAGATGTAAAATGAACAGAATATACTAATACTGCACTGGACATCGGCAATAAATGAGCCCTTGGTATCTTATTTGGCATCCAGGATCATGAGAAGGGAGACCAAAAAAAAAAAAAAATCTCTTGATGTTTTGACATATGTTTATTCCCTGACTGGATTCAGGGAATACAAAAGCAAAGGACTACATTGAGCTTAAAGTGAGGCTGTCTAGCCAAAAGCAGCCTCTTTTTTTTTCATTCAGTCCTCTTATTTAAAAGTTCACCTTTAACCAGGAATTCACTGAGGTTTTAGTACATGTTGGTCTCTTACAAGTACCGTACTGGATGGACTATACCCTGAGCCAGAGACCTAGCTCTGTCCAGATTGACCTTGAACAATTCACTCAGTTCTATTAGGTGTTTTTAAGGCCCCCTCTCTGTGAGAAGAGGATACTAATTTTAGCCCTCCATCCTCCCTCAGGAGCGTTGTGGAGAAACAGCAACAGCACAGGGGATACAGTGTGAGCTCCTACAAAGAAAGATCTGTCAATGAATTTATATGATGAAACAGAGAGAAACAGGCAATATCCTCGGTATCATGCTGCTTTTCTTCCTTTTAAGCACATTTCTCTGGTTAAGGTTAATGGCAAAAACTGATAAACATGCTAAGCAGATATAGGTCATGCTGCTATTTTCAATCAGTAACTCGCTTGCTGATGGCTCTCATTTTGGGAATTCATTTAGCACAATCCTGTTTTCTAGAAAAGGATAGGAAAAGTAGCCATAAAGGTTTATCTTGTTGAAAAAAATCCAAATAATTCATACTGAGCATCACCCCGAAAGTCAGCACCACCTTCCCACCCAGCCCTCTGAGCAATGCAGCTCTGTGCAGGCAACGGCACAGCAACATGAGGTAAGCAGGAGAAGGTTTTCCTACCAAAAAGCCCAGGAGCAGTCAAAGGCAAGCAGCAACTCCCGGCTGGCCATTGGAATGTGGTCACATTATTCTCTGAACATGTGAAAAGCAACATTCTGCAACCAGTGGGGTCCCTGTGACAGTGACAGAGCTTTCTCCTGAGCTGTAATCAATTACGATGCTTAAGTGCATTATGTTTTAAAGAAAAAATAAATAGCTCTTGTGTGCTGTCTCCCTTTCTCTCTCTCTCTTTTTAGATGGTACCATGGAGACCCATCTGAGTCAAATCATTTCAAAGCCATCTTTGACCAACTGCTTGCTCTCACAGAACACTTTCAAAATTGTTAAAGTAGAAGTAAAATAAATGAATAATCTGAAATACACAGTGTTGTTGTTTTATCAGATTACATTGTTTAATCTCCCTTTTCTCCATATCAAGAAAGGAAACACTAATATTTTTAAGTGAGAAAAAGGACATTCTGTGAAATATATCTTTTGGGGTCTCTGAGCAAACACACCCAGCACCTATGCATGGGAGAAACAATCCTGAAACGCTGCCTCACCCACCCTGTGGAGTATTCTCATCCAATTTCTATATATAGCCAACACACTTCACATGCACAAACCCTCCACCCCATCCACATGCACACTGTAATCTTATGCTTGCAGAAATTGGAATGCTGTAATAATGCCCTGAATTTGAGAAATTCACAAGAAAAGCCAAGAGATGGTTTCCTGATTGAATGAGAAAGGCTGGTTTGGTTGGCGGCAGTGCCTTCACGGCAGGGCAGGCACTGCCCAGCTCTCCGGAGTGTGATCTGCATGTCTAATAATGGAATAGGTTCCTGGGATCAGCCGCTTACCTTGGAATGCTGCAGCAGAAGTATCTGCTCGTCAAGCTGTTGTCGCTTGCCTTCTATTTCAGTCTGCCTCTTTCTTTTTTCCTTGAAAATAAAGAGAGAGAGGCTGTAAGAGTGGGTGGGTGTTGGCTCCAGAAATTTTAAGGCAGAAAGCAGCAGCAGCAGCAGCACACATCTGTATAGATACTTCCAGAGACACTGGGCACACACGCAGTGTCACCTGCCCCACCGTCTCTGGGTGTGTTGCAAGCAGCAGCATTCTCCTAACATGTCTGCTGTAGGCTCGAAGAGTGGGAGAAATTCTCCTCACTCAGCCAGGCTGCAAGAATTTAATCCAAAAGAAAAGGCTGTTTCTACACACACACACACACACACACACACAGAGAGAGAGAGAGAGAGAACCATGTTCTGTGCAGTGTTAATTTGGACACAAAGAATAAAAATGTCTCAATCCAAAAGACAGAGGTTCTTAAAACTGCAAATACCATAGAATGAAACAGTGGGAAATTCTGGGTGAGATTTATTTGATCAAAATCATAGACACAAATAAGCAGACATTGTTTCAAATTTTGTAGGACAAATCACCCAGTTGGACATACCAAACCATGCAAATGAAATGGGTGACCTTTGCTGCCACTAGCCTTGGGATAGCATTTCATGTGGGTGGGGCAGCAGAGGTTATGGTAAATATGAAGTCTGGAATCTGTCTGTCTGAGTCCAACTCCCAGCTCTACCACTCACTACCTGTCTGACTTCTGACAAGTTCTTCTACCTCCCTGGGTCTTGGTCTTCTTGTACGTAAAGTGGACATAATAACTGCACACAAACCACTTGGTTGTGGAGTGGATTAAATGAGAGGATGTAATGTAAAAGGCCTAGAACAATACCTGGCACAGAGTAAGTGCTCAATCAATGTTATTTGCTCTTAGTCTTATTGTCGTAAGTTTACTTATAGGTAATGCCTGGAAGCTGGTTGTAAAGGGATATATTTTCCTTGCATTTCCACTATAACCTTTCCATTACAGTGTACCCTCCATATTTTTCTCCTCTATACTTCTCCAATGCAGACAATAAACATCACATGAATGTGATTCATGAGAACAGAAAGGTCTGCTCTCATGATAGTTTCCTTGTTAATGTTCTGTTTCCAAAGTGTACAGGAGTGGTTTGCCGAGACATTTATTATACTGGAGCATTTTCGTTTACTCACATATGCAGAGAGAAACTTGTTAGACAAGACATAATGGCATTTGACAATACAACAGCCAAATCCTGGGGACAACAACAATGCGGAAGCCTGGCTGCTGTGCTCAGTGTTAATGGAAGCTTTCATTTTATGTAGTTGCTATGTTTCCGGGGCTATGATTGTACCATTGCTATTCAAATCAATGTAATAATAATGTGTGTTACAACCAAGGTTTTCTGTGCAATGCCCAGACCTTACAAAATATTAGCTCATAATCTTAAGCCACTAGAATATAAAATCTAAATCAGGGATATAATCCCCCTGACAAAGTAAGACGCATGAATATTTTAGAAACATAGTACCATTTACCAAAGAACTCCAATCAATGGTGCATAATTGATGTTACTTAATCCCAGAGTGTGTGTAAGACCATATAACATATGACAGTAGATGGGAAAAGTGAGGCACAGTGGGAACAGCCCACCTATCCAGCATCTCAGAGAGAGCACATGATAAAGCTAGGGCTTCCAGGACCATCTGCTATCTCTACATTCTAGAATCTCTCAAGAGTAGATTTACAGGACTTTGTCAGTCATTCCCACTGGTTATCAAGATATGTAGTTGTCCTACGTTTAAATACAGAACCAAGATGTATGTCATAGATATGAGAGGCTGATGACTCAAGATTTCCACAAATATTAATTGAGTGTCATGTGCTCTCATTACGTGTCTTGTCATTTCCAAATCATTCCCAGGCTTTCCCACAGCCGTGACTTTGTTCCATCAGAAAGTCCTCACTCCAGAGTTGCCCATCATCATGTTGGTGAACCATTCTCTGAGCAGAAGAAACCTTACCAGGCAGTATGGGAAGTAGACTTTTACATGCTCAAGCAGCAGGCTTATTGGTGATCGCTGTAACTGACATGGTCATGAAGGATGTAGAGTTCAAGTTAGTTCTTTAAGAATGGGTAGGATTTAGGGCCGGGCACACAGTGGCTCACACCTGTAATCCCAGCACTTTGGGAGGCTGAGGCGGGTGGATCACCTGAGGTCACGAGTTTGAGACTAGCCTGGTCAACATGGCGAAACCCCGTCCCTACCAAAAATATAAAAACTAGCTGGGCGTGGTGGTGCATGCCTGTAATCCCAGATACTTGGGAGGCTAAGGCAGGAGAATCACTTGAACCTGGGAGGTGGAGGTTACCATGAGCCAAGATCATGCCACTGTACTCCAGCCTGGGTGACAGAGTAAGACTCTGCCTCAAAAAAAAAAAAAAAAGAGAATGAGTAGGATTTAGGTAGCTACAAATGGGCAATACATTCCAGGCAAAAGGAACTAGGTGAACAAGGGTAGAAATGTACTGCATATTCCAGGGACAATGAGGGGGAAAATCTAACTGGGTGCAGGGCTTGCCTTTAGGAACAGAGATCAATGACTCAAAAGATTGACTAGGACTATACCATGGAGGGCCATGAATACCAGGCCAAGAAGTTTAGATTTTATTGCATGGACAATGCAATGTCATTGCAGGGTTCTAAGCTACAGAATGATACGGTGAAATGGCATTTTAGGAACATTAATCTGGCATTCATGTATAAGGCAGATTAATAGGAGCTGATACACTTTTCCTGTAAAACAAAAGTAAATATTTTAGATTTTGTGGGACATACGGTCTCTGTTGCAACTACTGAATGCTACCATTGTAGTTCAAAAGCAGTCCTGGACAATATTTAAATGAATGAGTGTGGCTGTGTTCTAATAAAACTTTATTTGCAAACATAGGTAGTGGGCCAGATTTGGCCCACAGGTCCTAGTTTGCTGACCTCTGGATTCAAATATCATTTAAGTGCCTTAAGAGGATGTTCCATTCACCTGGTTGTGCAGTGAGGATGGATGAACTAACAAGCCTCCTAGCTTAGAGTTGTACCAATCAAAATGGAAAGAGAAGGACAAATGCAAGAAACAGAATTGATGAGACTCAAGACTAATAGGATCTGGGGGGTGAGGCAAAGCAGTGTTTTGGCTTTGAGTCACATGGACCAGAAGAGTGCTGGTGCAGGAAGGGGTAACAGTGGGAAAGTAGTAAGGCTGAGCCCATTTATGCTATAGTCATATATTTCCCCTGAGGAAACTCCTTATTGGGTTAGAATTTGGAAGTGAACAGTTGTTAGCACATACAACCAGGCAGCGGCATTAGCATGTTTACATCCGCGTTCTGACTGATGACCCTGGACCTGGGCCCATGACAAGGACCCACTGTGCATCTATAGCTATTGCAGGATTCTTTGACTAGTTGAGCTCCCTTTCACAGTGATTTGCCCAGGCTGGAGTGCAATGGCACGGCCTCGGCTCACTGCAACCTCTGCTTCCTGAGTTCAAGTAATTGTCCTGTCTCAGCCTCCCGAGTAGCTGGGACTACAGGTGCATGCCACCACGCTCAGCTAATATTTGTATTTTTAGTAGAGATGGGGTTTTGCCATGTTGGCCAGGCTGGTCTCAAATTCCTGACCTCAGGTGATCCGCCCACCTCAGTCTCCCACTGAGCCACCGGCTCGGTGTGAGCCACCGAACCCAGCCCACAGTGATGGTCTTAAAGTCACTTCTAGGTGGAAAAGACGCAACCAGCCTATGCTCAGAATTAGATATGAGTCAAATGACAAGTTTGCATAGGACACCATTAAGGAACTCACTTGCAGTTTCTGACGCTTGTTTGATGGCTGAGGTCCGAGCTGTGCTCCTCCCCTGGTTAGCCCACTGGTTTCCAGATTTCTCCTTCCCTTAACCAGGACAAAACCAGTAACTCTTGGGTCCTTCATTCTCATCAACTCTACAACTCTACCTCTCCTTTGAGCTGCAGATTCCTATACTGAACTGCCAACTATTCATGGTCACTCCCCCAAACTCAAACACATGCAGTCACCATCTCAAGCAATCCCCCACCCTCTACCTTCATGCCTGTTCCTTCTTCTATATGTTTCATCTCAGCAAATGACACTACTCAAGTCAGAAATCTAAGTCATCCTAGACACTTACTTTCTTGAAAGACCAAGTCATGTTGATTCTGCCGGCCAGTTTCCACATCTTTTGCTTCCCCACTATAACCTTGAGTATTGCCTTAACACTCCTTCCTCTATCTCCTACCTGGACATGGAGACTGTTCCATATTAGCATCTTTAGCACACTACAGAACTTACATCCAGCTGGCTTACTGTAGTGGTTTCCTTATTAGTCTCCCTACACCCATTCTTGGCTTCTCCAACTCAATCTCCACACTGCTGCTAGAGTGATATTCTAAAACAGAAATCTGACCACCTCCGACCCTTGCCTAAAACCAAGAATGTCTCCCTATTGCCTACAGTGCAAAGAGCAGGTTCCCTAGCATGGCCAGTGAGGCTCCTGTCTATCTCACAGCTTCATCTCAAGCCATGGCCCCCTACCATGATCCAACCTCAAAGACTACTTTCAGTCTCCTGATCTTCCAGGCCGGTTCATGTCCTCTTAGTTTTGCTTCCTCTAACAATAATAGATGTCCGTTGCTGCTTCATTTGACAAAAAACAATTCATCTATGATGGCACAGTTTAAATATCCATGAAGCTTTAGTGAACATCTGTCAATTTTGATCTGCCTAGTCTTCTTTCCTTTGGGGAAACACATTTACCCTCACTGTAAATGGCTCTGGTGGAAATGCCAGTCATGGTTAGCTCATTCCTGCCACCAGGACTTGCATGTGAGCCAGGTTAGGCCAATCATGCTAACCTTGTTTCTTTGCAATAGCTATCGATCCAAGGGATGACTGAGTGAACGGAGAAACACCAGTTAGAGACATTTCTAGGGACAGACACATGGATACCAGGAGAGAAGAAAAAAAAAATACCACTAGGATTAAGCTGAGATGA